TGATGGACACAGGAATAAAAGTTCAACAAGTTTATTTTGACATAAGCGCACAGAATGTACTGGTTCTGGCTCGGGCCTGGACACTGGTTCACCGGAGTCTGCGTGAGAGACAGTTCAGTTAGCGTTGCACGTTGGAGCTTGCTTTCCAGATTAGAACAGATTGTACCTTGAGGGTTCTTGAGGTTAGCTTTGGGAGAGTCACTGTTGGATCTGGAGAGGAGTTGATCAGCAGAGTCCGCTTGCTGCTTCAGCGTCTCACGTCTACTAAAGAACAGACCTTGGCTTTGGGTTTCCCAGCTCTTAGTCCTGAGCTGCATGGAGGTTCTCTATGGTTCTTCGGGTTTGGCTCTGCGGGTCGGCTCGGCAGGTTAGCTCTTCCAGAGCTTCACAGAGGAGACACTGGTTTCCTGGAAGATAGAGACAACGGTTAGAATCCTGGCTGGATTCAAAGTCACAAAGATACACTGAGAGTCTAGGCTTAGGCGCTGACCAACTGGATCAACACTGCAGCGTTGAGGCAAGGTCTGAAGACAGCTTATATAGTGGATCCTCTGATGATCTTGATGGGCTGCAGCTGTGCAGGAGGCTCACTCAGAAGGATCCACGGCAGACTCTGCTGGAGAAAGGTGGAACTTCTCCAGCTCCCAACAGATTCACTCTTCTTTCAGTAGCAACCGAATGAATAGAGACACATTTATTTGTTTGGTGATTAATAATGTTGTTGACAGCCATAGTCTAAATTACTAAATTGGTGAAAGACAACTACATTTTTTACAGCCAGATTCAGGAGTCCAACCTTTCAGATAAGAGGCTAAAACCCTGGTCAGTAGGAAAATATAGTTATAATCATTCAACTGATTATAAATAACTAGTTTTCCCCTTGATTTGAATTACCAATTAACTATAACTATGCCTATTAACTATAACTTCCAGTTCTAGTTATTTAATATATTCATAATTGTTAGGTTTATTCAACGATGATTATAAAATTAATGTGTGTTTATATGAAACATTGTAGAAATAAGATGCTCCACTCTGTCTTGTGATTCAGTCAAGAGGAGAGCATTCTGTCTTATAACCTGATCAACTTTCCTGTCAGAACAATACTCTCTTTTGCAACCATGTGTTATGTTCTGTTAATAAATAAGGCATTGCAATGAGGGGGGGTCAGAGAGAGAGTGTTGGAGTGTTGGGTGCTGCTCCTTCTCCCCTCCTGCAGGAAGCTGTTGGTGTAAATCCCTTACTGTGTACTCAGTCCTTCTTGTACGAACCTACAATAATCTTCTGGTAAACTCACAACAACGGCTATGTTATATCATGCAATGAGCTAATTCATGTCCATTGTCGGGGATGCTGAGTGGCTCAGGAATTGTGCAGTCTGTTGAGATGTCCATCCAGTTAATTGATGTAGTTGATGCTGTGAATGAGTTCATAATCTTCAGGTCATTTTCCTGTATACAGTATAATAGAAGGATTTTATGCCATTGCAGAGGAGTCAGTAGCTGGATATCTGTGAAATGTTCTTTTCATCACTTTATGAAAGTTTTTTGCTTTATTTTGATCTTTTCCCAAGTCCTCTTCACTCCAATGGGTTACATCTGGGGGATGATGTTGGGATCTGGAGGTCTGTCCACCTTTCTCCAGCAGAGGGCGCCCTAGGTCTCCTGGAGCCGAAGCTGACTACCACACCTGCGGCTCGTTTGCTCATCAGGAGACCAGCATTTAAGGAGGGGCAGAGCTACACTCCAGCGCCAAAGTGTTAAGCCAGTTACGGTTAGCAAGCCTGAGCCAACCAACCTGTCTGATTCTCTGACTCCCCTGAAACCTGAATCCGAATCTAACCTGTTTTTGTCCTCTCTGCTTTCTAGGAAGAACCTGACTGAACCCTGGAACTCTGGAAGAGTTTCTCAGCTGAGACCAGCAGTCTGATCTCAGAGGAACCTTGGAAAGTCCAACTGCCTGAACCTGCCTGCCCGCTCTCAGGAAGAGAACTGGAAAGTAACTCGGATCTGAACACTGCAAAGTCTGAATTCAAGCCCTGACTCTGCCTAGCCCTCTGCCTACCTTCTGCCTTTGGACCCTCCTGGTTCCCTCCCTCTGCCGCTCAGCCTAACTCACTGAACAGGTACAGACCTGCATTACTCAACAAGCAACAGTATTTGGATCTCACCTAACCGAACTGTCCCTCTCTGCAGAGAACCCAGTTGTGACCAGTCCTGGATCTGTTTCCCAAGAATCAGTTCTTTAATATCATTGTGTTTCAATAAACTGTTGAACTTTTCCCTCTGAGTCCATGTGTGGGTTAGAAACCTTGGTCCCAACATGACAGATGAGATGTGTTAATATGCAGTACAGTGATATATATATTTATATATATATGTATATATATATATATATATATATATATATATATATATATATATATATATATATATACACTATATTGCCAAAAGTATTTGCTCACCCATCCAAATTATTGGAATCAGGTGTTCCAATCACTTCCATGGCCACAGGTGTATAAATTCAAGCACCTAGGCATGCAGACTGTTTTTACAAACATTTGTGAAAGAATGGGTCGCTCTCAGGAGCTCAGTGAATTCCAGCGTGGAACTGTGATAGGATGCCACCTGTGCAACAAATCCAGTCGTGAAATTTCCTCGCTCCTAAATATTCCACAGTCAACTGTCAGCTGTATTATAAGAAAATGGAAGTGTTTGGGAACGACAGCAACTCAGCCACGAAGTGGTAGGCCACGTAAACTGACGGAGCGGGGTCAGCGGATGCTGACGCGCATAGTGCGAAGAGGTCGCCAACTTTCTGCAGAGTCAATCACTACAGACCTCCAAACTTCATGTGGCCTTCAGATTAGCTCAAGAACAGTGCGCAGAGAGCTTCATGGAATGGGTTTCCATGGTCGAGCAGCTGCATCCAAGCCATACATCACCAAGTGCAATGCAAAGCGTCGGATGCGGTGGTGTAAAGCACGCCGCCACTGGACTCTAGAGCAGTGGAGACGCGTTCTCTGGAGTGACGAATCGCGCTTCTCCATCTGGCAATCTGATAGACGGGTCTGGGTTTGGCGGTTGCCAGGAGAACGGTACTTGTCTGACTGCATTGTGCCAAGTGTAAAGTTTGTTGGAGGGGGGATTATGGTGTGGGGTTGTTTTTCAGGAGCTGGGCTTGGCCCCTTAGTTCCAGTGAAAGGAACTCTGAATGCTTCAGCATACCAAGACATTTTGGACAATTCCATGCTCCCAACTTTGTGGGAACAGTTTGGAGCTGGCCCCTTCCTCTTCCAACATGACTGTGCACCAGTGCACAAAGCAAGGTCCATAAAGACATGGATGACAGAGTCTGGTGTGGATGAACTTGACTGGCCTGCACAGAGTCCTGACCTCAACCCGATAGAACACCTTTGGGATGAATTAGAGCGGAGACTGAGAGCCAGGCCTTCTCGTCCAACATCAGTGTGCGACCTCACAAATGCGCTTCTGGAAGAATGGTCAAAAATTCCCATAAACACACTCCTAAACCTTGTGGACAGCCTTCCCAGAAGAGTTGAAGCTGTTCTAGCTGCAAAGGGTGGACCGACGTCATATTGAACCCTATGGATTAGGAACGGGATGTCACTTAAGCTCATATGTGAGTCAAGGCAGGTGAGCAAATACTTTTGGCAATATAGTGTATATATATATATATATATATATATATATATATATATATATATATATATATATATATATATATATATATATATATATATATATAATTTACACAGTAAACAATCCATTACCATGCTTTATGGTGTTTTTTGATTCCAGCATGAGTTTGAAATTTCATTGAGATTCGTTGTTTCCTCTTTGTATTTCTGAAAGGTGAGTTTTTGTTCCTTACAGGTGAAATATGGCGCTCTCCTTTCTGTGCTCATGATTGTGATTGGTCTGCTGTCTTCAACCCGCCCCTTTATACATGCGCATTCACAAATTAATGATTAGTCAAAGCTGGGATGAGTTAGCTTGTTTACAGTAGCAGCCGTTCAAAATAGCCCTTCCCAGTTAAAAGCCGGTTGAATGGCAGCCAACTTCCAGCTACTGGAGTGACCTCCTCCTTCTCCTGAGCGTGAATATTATTTTACTCTGACTCCACCCTTTAGTGAATTACAGGATCTGACCTGGAGATGACACTTCTCTTTAGATCTTAATGTCCACATATCATGACAGAAAGACTATTTCTAATTCCTTTTTCCTGTTTTAAAAGGAATTGTAGGGCTACTACAGTATAAGCAGGTTGGTGGTACCGCTGATCCTGTCATTGTTGCTGACTGGTCAAACTGGATTGGCTGGGAGTAATCCCATTAAATTGAACTTGCTTGATGGTATGGTTCTCTGTTCTAATAACATTAGTTTACAGGTGAGTTAAGTCAGGTGATCAGACCTTAGACCCCTGATGCTGACATCTGGTATAAAACATATTCCATATTTGGTCATGCTTTTACACAATGAGCAGCAACCGAGGTCCTACAGTAACTCTGTTAATATATTTCTCACTAATAATAACCCCGAACAATAAATATGAAAAATTAGAATCACTGCAGGGGAAAATTGTCTTTCTTTAATTTGAAAATGTATCATGTTGTAGATTTTGCAATGATCCATAATTTAGAATTTATAACTGACCTTAGATTTAATAAACCTGATGAGTGAATTTGAATTTGAAATTTAAATTAAATACGTGACATTTGACATAAATCATAGTTTAAAACAACAGAAACAAAAATAGTGAAAAATCTAAAAAATTAAGGATAGTTTTAAATTTTAATGAAAAAATAGCCATCGTCCAAGGAGAGCCCTGGAGAACTCCACGTGCCTCAAACAAGCATCACTCAGATCTACAGGGGCCCCGTAAAAATACAAAACAAAAAACAAAATAAAAACTAAACCTTGTGGCCAAAATCAAAAGAAGCTGTGAGTCTGTTCAGCAGGAGGAAGAGGAGCTGAGAGCTTCAGGGAGGAGCTGAGCTGTTACTGAACTATAGAAGAGACACAAACTTCCACATTCAACACAGTTCAAACATTAACTCTGATCATCATGCTGTCTTTGCTCACATCTGGATTTACTCTGCTGGTTCTGCTTATAGGAACAGGTTAGTTGGAGTCTTTCACAGAACTATTTGATCCTTGCTGTTTTCCATTATAATTGTTTTTCTTCCTTCAGGTGTAAACTGTCAACAACTCACTGCAGCAAAGACTGAGGAGTTCATTTTAGAGGGCGGCTCTGTTACTCTGTCCTGCAGTTACAAGAAAGAATCAGCTTTTAATTTGTTCTGGTATCGACAATATCCTGGAAAACCTCCAGAGTTCCTGAAGTCCCACTCACCTTCAGGTGAAGTACAACATCTGGACAGAATGAAATTTGAAGGAACCAAAGAAGAAATGAAGATGACCATCTCCTCTGCTGCAATGGCAGACTCTGCTGTTTACTACTGTGCTGTGAGGCCCACAGTGACAGGAAACACCAGAACTCTGTACAAGAACCTGCAATACTCCACAACATCCACTAGAGGGCCTCACACACTGTTAACCCACTGGATGCTGATTCAGTGGTCTGATGACAAAGACAAAAGAGACAAGAAACAGTAAAGATCAGAGACAGAGCTGCTGTGGAAGCAGAAAACTCTCTGATTGGTTGGGTTTAGGCCACGCCCACTGAACTTTAGCTCAATCAATGCCATTATCTGTTCCTCCTTCTGCTGCAGGGGGAGAACATTGTTCATCTGCTGTGTGGCTTCAAGGACTCCAAAGACATGTTGCTTTACCTCAGTTTTCGTCTCTCTCACTTTCGATGTGAGTTGTAGAGCAGAGATTCTAGTTTTGGTTCCAGCTGCTCCATTAACCAAAGATACAGACTGTATTTTAAATGTTTCTGCATCATTTGCTCTGATAACATAAAATAATCAGTTATTCATCATCTTGGAAACTGAACTGACAGAGTTTTACAGTAGATTTAGTTCTAAAAGTCCAAAAAGAAACAGGGAAAACCTGTCTAATGAATTCTTTCTCTCCTGTCTTTTCAGGACTAACAGCTGAAGAAGAAATCTATCCTGTGACCAGCGGGGGATTTACCATTAGGCAATGCTATGCAGCTGCCTAGGGCCTCAACTTCCTGGTGGCCCAATAATACTTTGTTTACATGTATGGTTAATACAAGTATTACGTATTTTTGCACATTAATTATAATTATGATAAACCTGGAGGTTTTTTCCTGTTAAAAGGGAGTTTTTCCTCTCCACTGTCGCTACAAGCATGCTTAGTGTGAGGGATTGCATTGGAGTCAATGAGTCGATGCAATCAGCTGGTTTTCCTTAGATAGAAAACTTTGAATCAATTTGACTGGATAATCTGGAGAACTGTAAAGTGTCTTGAGATGACATGTTGTGAATTGGCGCTTTAGAAATAAACTGAATTGAATAAAAATCATTTTGCTAAAATGCCATCAGAATGCTAATAATATTAAGTGTTTCTCAGCCCATTTGCTGCACATGTTCAGAAAGGTCCAAACAGACAGCAGCAAACCATTTTAGAACGATGCAAAGAGCAGTGTTGCTAACTTAGCGCTTTAGACGCTATATTTAGCCACTTTTCAGACCCCTCTAGCACTTTGATTTCTAAAAAGCTCCTAGCGCCAAATCTAGAGACTTTTTTCTGCTACTGGAGACTTTGGAGACAACATCTAAAAGCAGCGAACTCTGCTCTCCAGAGCGAGTAGATTGGTAACCCCGCCTCCTGCTCTCCTCTATCTTGTCTGCTGTCATGATTCATGCAGCTATTATTTCATCCAAATGAAAAATGGAGAACAGATAAGCAGATCATGGCTTGTCTACAGTGAAAAGAAGGACTGGGTTATTTACTTTGGCCTTTTTGGAAACACAGGAAGGAGCAATCAGCTAAGTGAGCTTAGTGCTTGGAAAAAATCTTTCATTCCTTTAGAGACAGCATGAAAAGTCAGCTGAGTACAAAACATAGAGAGGAAAACAAGAAGAAAAGGGACAAGAAGAGAGGGACACAACCTAGAACAGATAATGGATGTCTATTCTATTAACATTTCTATATCTGTAGAATGGGTCTGTTTTATCTGTTGTCTTTTCAGTTCAGAGGCTCCCTGCCTGTCTTTGCCTTGGGCCCCACATTTCCTTAATCCGCCCTGCCTGCGACAAATAACGTTAGAGAGAAAGAAGGACAACGTGTCTCACTCAGCTGCAGCTGTGAGACAACTGCAGACATAGCAGACCTTCACTGGTTCAGACATCACTCTGACCTTCAGGCTCCTCAGTTTATCCTCTGGAAAAGAGGCAAGGGACTTCTTGCTGAGTTTAATCTTGACAACAGATATGCTTCAGAAACAACCTCTTCAACAACTAAGCTGACCATCAGAGAGCTAACCCTAGCAGACACAGCTCTCTACTACTGTGCTCTGCAAACACAGTGATACAAAGTGTAGAAGAGGCTGTACAAAAAGCTGAACACTGATATCTGACTCCTCTTCAAAGAGGAGGGAAGTGGTATTCAAAGCTCAGCTTCATATCAGATGGATTCTGCTAATTCCTGTTTGATCAGAGTCACTGTGGTTACAGCTGCTAATCAGACACTGTGGGAGGAGCCACAGGAGCAGAGTCTCAGCAAATCTACCACACTGACAGGAACAGAGAGAGGAAACCTAATAAATAAATAATTATTATAAATAAATAATTATTTATTAGTTAAGAGGCAATAACCTCTGTATCAATATGAAGAACAGGAAGAAGATGGTGGTGGATTTCAGAAGGATGAGGATCCTCTTCATCCCCTGTACCTCAGAGGAGCAGCTGTGGAGGTGGTTCAGCTAAACAGTAGCTGGGTTTGCATCAGCATCTTTACACCCTCAGAGAGCTGGACTAGGGAGCTCAGTCCTGAGGATCTTTTATTGCTGTGCAGTGGAGAGCGTTCTCTGCAGATGCATCAGCGTGTGGCGCTGCAGATCCACTGCTAATGAGAGGATGGCTCTGCCTGCTTAAAGCTGTACAGAGGACTGTAGGGAGCAGCCTGTCCTCCACCTCTGCACATCTAGAGGCAGGGGAGGGCGCTCCGCCTCATGAAGCTCTCCACACATCCTGCACACAGACTGTTCCAGCCTCTCTCCTCAGGTGGGAGGCTGAGGAGCATCCAGAGCGAGACCAAAAGACTTAGAAAACCTTTCTACTCTGCTGCTGTTTCACTGATGAACTCAAGCTGCAGTTGATTCATCTATTTCTCTTTCTTGTCTTTAATATTAAGGAGATAAACCTGGGACCTGAGTCCAAATTTAGTACCAAAAACATGCCAATGTGGGATGGTAAGACACGAAAGAATCCTGGAATAAAGACAGATAGAAAACCTGTAATATCTTTAGTCTGACTTATTTCTAACAGATTTCATGAAACATGAAAACTCTGCTGCAAGGTTGACAATGAAACTCTAAAGATGTTCTAAACATTCTGATGTTAGTCAGTTTAAGACTTTGTTTTTGATTTTCTGTTCACAGTAGATTTTCATGAGAAATGATAAAGTTTCATAATAAAAAAAGTAATTAATAATTCATGTAAATGTCTGATAAATGGCATTTATATTCTCTTTCACAGTGTTATTTATGTGTTCACAAGACATTGTGGTTTCTACAGTGATTTTGGTTTTGGTGCTTTTATTTTGAAGCGCACTGTCTTCTTCTTCTTCTATTGTTTTTGTGACGTTAAACTTCCTGCCATTGTCGTTACTATGACGCGCCCACACATGATGAGAGAAACGGTAAAACTTTAAAAGTATATTATATTTATCGTGTTCATCTGTTTGAATCCTGTAAAGTAATATTTGCATTGTGATTTCATGTATTATTTTTGTATTGTTCGTACCTTTTATTCGTAAGAGCTTTGAGCTGTGAGAGCGTTACTAGCTAGAGAGCATGCTAGCGGATGGAAGCTACATTGATTAGCGCCCTTGGAGAGCGGAATGAGGTATGAAAAGATTGAACATGATTTATGTGTGTTATTTGTGAAACTACAGAGAAGCATTTTGTATTTCTTCTGTTTTTTCTGTAGCATTTTGTATTTCTTCTGTTTTTTCTCTAGTTTTCACGGTGTTCAAGGTGTAATGCATGGTGCTCGTTGAGGAAAAAACGAAATAAACCAACACCCGTTTGAAACTCTCTGCGTCTTATCAAAAAATCCGAGGGGCCGCTACAGTGAAAACTCATCGCTGCACCAGCCTCGCCATCCCTGCCATCGTCAGTGAGAAGCTGACGGCATCACATCAGAGGTCCAACCAACCTGATACCAGCCTTTTTACTTCGCTTGCATCCAACTCCCGCATCCAGGCAAGACTTAAAATGGACAGCATGTTTAAGGTACGACTACACATGCAAAACGAGACACTGGACACCAAGGAGCAAAAAGACTGAAAAAAAAGAAAAGAAAGGGAAATACACACGTAAGCTCACAACATAACTGAAGCGACTTATGGTATTGTATGGACAAATAATTTGTGAGCTAATTCTTTGTTCCTAACACTTCTAAAATAGTGACCATTAAAAAAAAAAAAAACTGGTTCTGTCATGTCATGTCTGCTTATGAAAAGGTTTGAAAGAGAAGTGCTTTAGATATTAATGCTTACGGCGCTTTTTCTGACATTTTGTTGTTACTGTGTTATGCAAAAAAAAAAAAAATCCTTTTACGTCCGTAATCTGTTAATGCTTGACATAATTATTACTCTGTGGTGAAAGATAACTACAGCTTATAAGTGTAAATTCAGGCATAGGACAATCAAAGGCTACACTCGACTTAAAGCAGCAACACAAACAAACAAGATGTCACTCCCGACAGAGAAGACAGACGATCCTAAAGACACACCATTCAGGTCTAGTTCATGTGAAAGAAAGTTTACAGAGAAAGGCCAAGAGATGCATGACCAAGACATCAAAAAACGTGAGAAAGCATTTAACAAGACCTATGACTCTTGGAAGCAGGTAGCAAGGAAGACGAGGACAAAACTAAAAACCCTCTGTTCATTGGAAGACCTTAATGGATTACAGCTAGACATTCAAGCAAAGCTTGAAGATGTAAGCCAGCAGTATGAACCTATCCTACGTAACAGTAACACCACACCAGAAATTGTACAAAAAATGGATGCCTGTGTTACTCTAACAAAGGAAATTTGCAACCTCATATCTAACCGTCTGGAGACTATTAATCAAGATTATAATAATCAACTTGAGAAGGAAAGGGTAAGAGAAATATTAAACAAAGAGGAATATGGATCTGTTTTTGTCTACACCAAAACTGAAACGGTAAGATCATCAGAGTCTCTGGACAGATTGAGCAATCACTCTAGTACCCACAGCAGTAAAGTAGATGCACAAGCAGAGCTTGCAGCTAAGCTAGAACATTCAAAAGCCATGAAAGAAATCCAGGCCCAAAGAGCACATCTGCAAAGGTTAGAAGGTGAATGGAAACTTAAAGAGGCAAAAATGTTGTCAGAAATGAAACAAAAGGAGGTGGAAATGCAAAAACAGTTGGAACAAGAGAGAGCAAAACTGCTGCAGTTACAAGCAACAAAAGACGTTGCTATAGCAGCAG